GTGAACCTTTCCGACTTTCTACCATGCAGCCCATTATCCTGTAGAGTGGCCTCTGCTAACTGATTTTTTTCACACTATAGTTCTTCCATATCAATCCTCTGTCAGAGTGCTGATAACATTAAGCCTGGTCCTCCTAATTTAAACTTCCTGTATGGCAGCAGCTATTGCAACTGTCCAACTGCTCTGAAGTTCTTCCAGCCATGATGGTCTCATGTGTGGACCAGAGGCACAAACTGTTCTTAGCAATAAAGTTGTTCTGTTCAACCTCCATTGTGATTTGGCCTCATCTCTGAAAGAACGTACTAGATTGTGTAATCACATTTTTAGTGATATTATTAACTTGCCACATTCTTTCTTGCATTCTGGTGAAATGTTTGTGTTTTTTAGAGGCTGAGCTGGATTTTTCTTTCTTTTTCTTTTTTATACCACTCTTCCAACACTGAGCAATATTTGTGACTGCACACTTTATCAAAGGATGCCATCGGAACAAGCAAACATTCTTTCAGCGTAACTGATCTTAAATTGGCTACTGTCTCGATTCTTTTCAGTATTGTTCCTCACACAACACTCCTTGCAATCCATTCTCAGGCCTCCATCCAGGGCGGGATTGCCTGAAGCTTTCCCTTGTGCAAGCACCTGATGCAGGAACCTTGTTGCAGTTAAAGAGGGTCAGTTATGGCCAGTGCCTAAGCGAGTGATCTCTTGGGAGCCTAATTTGTGCTCCTGCAGGCCCCAAGGAGAAAAGTCACAATATCAATATAATGAGATGTTGTTACCAGATCTTGCTATGTTCCTGGCATTTTTAAAGGTAGTATGAATTCCAGGCAGAGAAAACTGACACCAAAACTGATTTTAAAAAATCTGAAATGTAACTAGGTGCTTCCACCCATCTCTTCAAAAGAAATCCCACTTTCAAGCAAAGTGTAAGGAGAAAGGGGGGTTATTTAACTGCTGAATAAATTTCAGAGGCTTTAGCCAGAAGCATCAGTGTAAGCTCAGATTTTTTTTTTCTTTCAGAATGCTCTGGATCAACAAATGCTGCCTAAGGCAAATTTGGCACCAATCTCCCTTGAAAACACTGCCTTAAGTGTTTGTTAAAACTGGAAAGATTTTGAGAGCAGCTGCAGCAATAGATAACTGGGAAATTGTGAGCTATGATATTTATATAGTGGTAGCTTGTGGTGACTTGATAATCTTCACAGTATATTATGCTTTTTCACCTCCACCATAGCTTTATTCATGGGATCTTGGTTATTTATTGTAACGCTGTATGCGCTCCATGTATCTGGGTTTATATTGGGCTGTAAATTATGGTAGGTGAGCCTTGATTATTTACTGCAGGGTGAAGAAGCAGTCAGAAAACACAACAGGAAGTGGGTATCATAGCAACTGCATGTCACTTTGTTCTCAGCCTGTTGCGTATGCATCTTACTGCTGAAGTAATGACAGAAACGTCTGCAAGCACCTGAGAGGTCTGCTGAAACCATATTTTATCCAAAAGAGATGTTTTCCCCTGATAATTATGCATCAGGCTAGATCCTTTCCCCTTCTATTTTTGGACAGGAAGAAGGCGAGCTTACTCAGTGGTGAGCAACAGCAGGCATGAACCAGGATTAGTTCTTGCAGCCAGCAGTGCTTTTGTTTTTGTTTTTTTAATTGTGGTCTTGAGGGCAGCTCTTTTTCCATCAGTGCCTTCTCTTCAGCTCCAGCATTCTGATTAACCTCTGGAACGGACACTATAGGTGCCCTGGGACTAGAATTACCACAGCAACTTCCCATGTCCCCTCTGCCTCAGGATGGATGACTTCCAATAGCACCCGGAGATCATGCTTAGTTTCCCAGGCCTGCCGGTGAGCATCGCTGGCATAGACACAACTCATTCATGCACCTGTCTGCCAGTTTACTGCCCTGCTGTTACAGAAACTCTGCATTTTACTGGTCACCCAGCATGGTGATTGGAGGAGAAATTACTTCTAGATCCAAATAAGGCATGACATCTCCTAAATGAAACTGTCCTAAAAGGATGCACAGCTGAGGCTTTGCATGCCCTGTGCTAGGCTGTGCATTCAGCTGCATCATGCCAACAGATGCAAGGGGGATAGGATGCAGGGCAATTGGAAGTAAACAGTGGCAACTTTGTTTGGGGGGTAGGATTTGCTCCTCTTATTCAGAGGGTTCATTTAAAAGATCTGCACTTCTGGAGGCAGAATGCAGAGCCATGTTGTCAAGCTAAATAGTCTCTGCTCACAGGTTAAAAAAAAGTGTGCATGTGGGTAGGATTTTTCTGATTACCAGGTCCACCTTGTATTTTACTCAGCACCTTAAAGGTATGCTTGTCAAAAATGGCCTGATAAGAGTGACAGAATTTAGAGGACAGAACAAAGGTGTTCTTTTCAAATGGAATTCACCCTGCTTTTCTATCCACAAAAGCTTTCTTCTTAAGTGACCCATGGGTAGGCTTCACTGCATTTGGTATAGCCATCTTTGAAATACAGTGTACAGATCTACTTGCCTCATCTCAAAATGGAGTGCTTTGCCTTGACCAACAACAAAGGCTATGCAGAGGCCTCACTGGGAAAGCAAAACCAAATAAGCCAGGGGCTTTCATCTTTATGGAATTCTGCAGTTTAAATGCACATTTTCTGGTCAATGTAAAGAAGGATTCCCGCTCCTAGACTGCATACTAAAATATGAGAAGATGAGGCAAAGCAGAGAATTGTCTCTAAAATGAAGGCTGATCCCTCCTTGCATTGGATTATCTTTCCAGGACTGTCTGGTTCTTGGATAGCTTAGTAAATGAATCTCTGTTCTTGCAATCTTAAAATGTCTCTCCATGGTGGCAATGATCTTGTTTCAAAGAGGTTACTAAAACATTCTGATTTTTCCTCCATCCTTCTACCAAAAATAAATGCACACTCCAACCATGGTATACTGATTAGAGTATTAGACTAGGATTTGGGAGATCCATTTTCTAACCCCCGCACCTGCCCAGCCATGATGCTCACTGGATGACTTTGGAACACTTACTGACTTTCAGCTTAACCTACTTCACAAGTTTTTTGTAAGGCTAACACAGAGAGGAAGAGGATCTTGTAAACTATTTGTGTGTGTGTGTGTGTGGGGGGGTGTTTGCAGGAGCTAAAAAGGCAGAGTATAAGTGCAGTGAACTAACTGAAGCAATGCAGCTTCTATTGGCTTTTTTGGGGGAGAGGGATTGACCTAGTATGCCATCTATTTTTTTCTCTCGTCAACAACTGTCATGTACTTCTGTTCTTCGATTGCTAAGGATTGCATGTACTTCACTTCAGGGTGGAGGCATATCCTAGTAACTGCTGGATTTTATATTTTTAGAATGGAGAATGGGGCATTGTATATTCATTCCTCCCAGT